TTGGAGGAGATGAATATATGGGATAGATCCTACGTAGAGCTATTGATAATCTTTAACAACAGTCCAACGCTCAGGACCGCGCTAACCTCCGGACCCCCTGCTCATTTGACATGGGCAGATGTCTTCCAATGTATTTTGACCATTGTTCGTGGCCGCTCCATTAATGTTAATGGTCTGGCATCCAGTAAGCCTGAGAAACGTCAAGCCATATGAGATTAGCTCAGAGGTGTTGGGGGCAGAAGATGGTCGGATGTGATATGCGTACAAGCGACCCACCTGCAGGACAACCCGGAGCATAATAGGACCCATAAGATGGTCTGGCCTCACTCGGCTGTGAGAGTTCATGCCCCTAGACCGAGATCAACAGTAGTAGTAATTTGGATCCCCACCGACTTTAGATTTCAGTTAGTTCATTGGGCGGTAGACGAGGAAGAGGGGCAGTGGGCCTCTGTATTAGGCATGCTCGAATTGGAGTTACTCTGTATTTTTTTGCATCTACTCGCCCAACACAGTCGGAGAATGAAGGGTCTTCCTAGGAAATCTAGGAACGTAAGTCCCCAAGGGTATTCCTCTGATCATAGGAGGCGATTTCAACATCACTCCGAATAGAAGACTGGATAGATGGCACCCCCAGGATACCCTCCCTTTTGTTGAGGTCGAGGATGAGCGAATGATATTAAAATATTGCGAAACCCTCTCGGTTTTTGACACCTTTCGTCGGTTGCACCCTCAAGATCGATCTTTTGCGTGCATAAGAGACAACGATATGACACGGTTATCCAAATCACGAATTGATCTTATCGTTCTTTCCAATGACCTGGAGGGTGCACTGCGCTGGTCATCTATCCTTCTAAGCAGCTCGTACCCGAGTCTGGATCACAAGACATATGGGTTAATCTTAACAATGAGGAAAAGGTCGGATCAAGGGTCTGGGTTCTACAAACTTAACACTTCCCTCTTAAGGGACGACCCATTTAGACAGATGATTCGACTTGAATGGCAATTTTGGCGCCAACAAAAACATCATTTTGATTCAGTCCCTACATGGTTCAATAACGGGTTGATTTTCCTGGCTAAAAAGTGTAAGGAATTCTCTAAGGTTAGAGCGGCCTAATGTTATCAGCAAGAATTGAGCATTCACAAGGAATTGGTAGACTTGAAACAACAGGAAGATTCATAGCATCTCACTATTTTCATTCAGAGAGTGAAGGATCAACTCTTAACTTATGCACAACATAGATAGCAAGGTATCAAAATTCAAGGAAAAATGACCAAGTTCACCCAAGAAGCCACGATGAACACCCATTTTTTCGCGATGGCTATGACCCGCGTCCGACGGACTGTAATCGAGACACTCTTTTAACCAGACAGTAGGGAGGAAGTTATTGCAACCGATATCGGTCATTGCACATTAATCACGAGGAAATTTTTCAAACAATTATACACTTCTCAAATCCCGACCCCGCTGAGGGAAGTAAGGGAAAAAGAACTTGAAGAATTCATACTTTCCATGGACAGACGCCTTTTCCCACAACAGCGCGGCCGATTGGAGTCTTTGACAAAAGACGAAGTATGGGCTGGGCTTCTCCAAATTAAGGAGGAAAAAACCTCGGGTATTGATGGTTTCCCTAAAGAGCTTTGAGAAGCGATGTGGACAGATTTAAATCCGGACTTGTAGGACTACTACAAAGAGGTATGAGAAGTTGGGGAGATAAGGGAAGTAGTGGGAAAAGATGTATTGTCGTTACTATACAAAAAGAGACATAAAATGAATATCAGGAACTATAGACCTATCACCCTTCTTACAGTAGTCTATAAAATGCTTTCGAAAGCCGTGACAAATCGTATGACGTCGGTGTTGGAGGACGTCATACACCGAGCACTAACAGGCTTCATGGTCAGTAGGAATATACAAGAGAACATCCTTCTGGTGAATGAAGTAGTTAAACTGACGCGACGGAATCAGGCAAATGCGGCCATTATTTTCATTGCTTTCGAGAAAGTCTACAACCGCGTCGACTGTTTTTTCTTGGACAGATGCCTAAAAAAAACTAGCTTAGCGCCCGCGGTGCGGGCGGTGCGGGCTACGCCCACAAAATTTCAAAAAAGAAATGGCAAATATCAGACGAATTGCTCACATGGACTCAAACGCATTTGTAAGAAAAAAAAAAAAAAACAACGGGGCAGCAATAGAAGGGTTTTGTTGAAAAAGGGGGAAACAATCATTTTGTGCGGCCACAAAAAAAAAAAAACTGAATGGCAAATATCACACGAACTGGTTAAATAAACTTAAATGCACTTGTAAAAATATAAAGAAGATAGTGGGCCAAAAAAGGGAAAAAAAAATGTATAAAAAAACAGATAATGTGCTAGTAATAAAGACTTAAGGAGGGAAAAAACCTAAAAAGGGTGACCTACCTGCCTGCCTGCCTACCTGCCTGCCTGCCTGGTTGCCTGCCTGCCTGCCTGCCTACCTGCCTGCCTGCCTGCCTGCCTGGTTGCCTGCCTGCCTGGTTGTCTGCCTGCCTGCCGCCCTGCCCTCCAGCCTGTGTGCCTGCCTGCCTCCCACCCGGCTTGCCTGCTTGCTTGTCTGCCTGTCTGCCTGCCTGTCTGCCTGCCTGCCTGGGTGCACTGTAGATCGGGTTGTGTGTAATCCTATAGTCACTACTATTGACTAATCGGACTTGGGTGTGGTACTACCTGGACGACTATGTTCTTTGGAGGTCTTATTAAGTGGCCCAATTGTCGTACTATGCAGATTCTAAAGGAGGAGAGGAGGAGAGGTGTGTAGGAGGGAAGGGAGAGGAGAAGGACCTC